TTTTTAGCATATTTAATCTCTGAAAATTGCTTTTATCGACTTCTTTGATTTAATTAAGAAAGTAAGTTAAGTTAAAAATTTGGTTTAAGTTGTACCTTATCAAAGCAGACAAAAAAAAGAAAAAAAGTCGGAAACTAAAACATTTTTGTCAGCATTACCATTACGACGTGGTAAATGATTTAAAAATAAGATATTATTTTTAACGAGGTTACTTAAGCTGTCGATTCTGAAGACCGTTTTTAAAATTAAAGCAATTTTTTCCCTCATCATAATTGTTTATTTTTTAAACAATTGAATAAGTTAACGAGGCAGGGTTTCTAACCAATCCATTTCAAATGCAACGTATTTTAATTTTTAATATTTGATCGCTAAAATACACATTTATCAGCTTTTATTTTTTTGTGTGCCGTGTGGTTTAGCCACAAAAAATGCTAATAATATTTCAAATAGAAAAAAAAATCTCTTTTCTCTTGAAAGAAAAGAGCTTTGTCAATTTATTGATTTCAAATATCGCCTTTCGATGTAGGCCAGGAATTTTAGTTCAATGCTTACTATTTTTTAATTTTTACATATGTTATGTTTTTTTTTTTTTTATCTACCGACATCGTCTTAAGCAAATCTAGTTCATTGTGATATTTTCGTTTTAAATATTGACGTACCTGAAATGAAAATTCCACATAAATCAGGTGTTGCCAATAGTAACAAAAATGTTACTGTTGAGTGCTTGCTTATCAAATTCATTTTGAGTTCTGGAGAATAAAGTCTGTATTTAGAATACGTCATCAAGTGTGTCGGTGACCAAAATGAGTTGTTGGATTAGTAGACGTTGGCATAAAAGAGAACAGACCCAGTTTTACACAATAAAATAAAAAAAAAGATCTTTTTAATGAGAGAATTTCCTGAGGAGCCACTGTTCAAATTTATCAATATTATCACTTTTATTTTTATTATTTAGAATGGAAAAAACAAAAGAATTCTTGTAAAAATTTATTTTTCAACCGAAAAAAATTTTGACTTCAGACAAAAAAAAAGTCGTCCTTATTGATAAAAATCCATCAAAAGCTGTTTTCATAGAAGAATGTCTTAGTTTTCTTGCATTTTTGTATTTTAAATCCAGAGCTAAAGTTTGGATTCCTGCGAGTCAAAATTTTACACAAAATTTCTGATTTATATTCCTCAAATTCTTTATTTAAAAAAAGAAAAAAACAACAGAGGAAACTATACTAGTTTTAGTTTTCATAAAATTAAGTAAGGATGAGTATCAGACGTAAAAAAAAAATATATATTTTTTTATTATGACTTTCTAAAATAAATTCATTTTGGAATAAGTTCTGAAAGTTTCACTAAATTCCGATAATTATTTGATTTTTGCAAGAATTTCCAAATTAATGTGTTTTTCAAGTGAAAAAGGCTATCTAAAAAGTTAATGCTAAATATTAGGTGACCTCTGACCTAAAAAAAAAAAAAAAATTAACCACAAATTCAAACGTGCTAAAAAGAATAAAAAATTTAAAAAATTACCTTGGTCTCCTCTTATTAATAACAAAGTGATAAAAAGTTTTTAAGTTTGGGGCCTTTTTCATCAGGATATGCCACTTTTTTAGCGAAAAAGTGGACATACCTACAAAAACCTAGACTAGTATGTCGCTTTTATTATTATTATTATTATTATATATTTTGGTACCTCATGAATTTAAGCATAGTATTACTCTAGCTAGGTTGACATTTAGGTCATTCTCTTTTTTTTTACTGTTGAAATAGCTAGATGTAAGTGTAAGTTCTATTCTAATAGTGTCTTCTCTCACACTTTTTGCCGGTAGTACTCTCTTCTGTTTTTTTCTTTTCTGTCAATTACGATCTTTAACTCAGTTATGTGCCATGCATGATACACACTTAGGCGATCATGTATCTTTTGATACAAGACTGACGAAGCAGTTTTTTTTTCCCCGCACTTGGTTGCCATTTCTTTCTGCAATAGACAGTTGCCATCCAAGACTATAGAACCATTCTGTCCTGCTATTTACATATAGCTGGGTGGGGGCAGAAGAGAATTCATACCTTTCCCAAGGGTATTAGCACATAAGTGAATGCAATGGATTCGACTGGAATTCGAACTCTGCTTTCCGATTCCTCAATCCAAACTGCTATCCATTACTCCATGATGCCCTCTCTTTAAGTACAGTATTTAAATGCAACATAAATTGCCATCTTCTGTCTTTCTGAATCCTGTTCTTTTTATTGTCCTTTCTCTTCACTAACATTTTCTTTTATCAATAACCCCTTGTGTCTTAAGGGCACTGATGCCTTGCTTGGGGGGGAAATGATTAAAAATGAAGATGTTTGAATTTTGAGTTAATGTCTGCAGCAGTCACTTGCGGTTTAGAGAGTAAAACCTAACAAAAAAAAAAAATGACTTCTTGACCCATTAATGATAACCGTAAAATCCAGTATAGGCTTCTACTTATGAGCCATTAGTGCCTATTGTCCCACTTTTGGGATGGTGAACATTAATGGGTTGAAACCATGATGAGGATATTATCATATGGCGATTTACTGGCTAATTAGACAATTTAACGTTTAAATCTGGCATTTGGAATTGAACATGATACACCCATAAAGAGTATTTTGTCCATTTGTTAAGGAGATTTGTTTTTATTTTATCTTTATTTTGTTTAAACGCTCTTCTACAAATTCCTGTTCAAGATGTTTTTCTCCTGTTGTTGTAAATTATTAGCAAATGGACATGTAGATGTTGAGGGGAGGGTACATATGAAATCATTAAAGTTAAATCTGACATTGTAAGCGACAACATTTTTCTTTATTTGTTATTTATTTTAACATTTCGTGTGTGTGTATAAAAAGACAACCTGCATTGCAGCTGATGAAATGGTATCCTCTCTCATCGTCATTTGCTGGAATAGCCAGGATTTTGAATGTTTTAATTTTATTTATTTTATAAGTTAACAAAGACTTTCTTACTTTCACGATTGATGGAACAAAATCTTTTTCTTTAACATACCAAACTCTCTCTTCCCTCTCTCTCTCTCAGCCTGTCTCTTAGCCTCTCTCAGCCTGTCTCTTAGCCTCTCTCAGCCTGTCTCTTAGCCTCTCTCAGCCTGTCTCTTAGCCTCTCTCAGCCTGTCTCTTAGCCTCTCTCAGCCTGTCTCTTAGCTCTCTAGCCTCTCAGCCTGTCTCTTAGCCTCCAGCCTCTCAGCCTGTCTCTTAGCCTCTCTCAGCCTGTCTCTTAGCCTCTCTCAGCCTGTCTCTTAGCCTCTCTCAGCCTGTCTCTTAGCCTGTCTCTTAGCCTCTCTGTCTCACACACACACACACACACACACACAGCTGAAAACATTTCAGCAGAATGTTTCTAGCCTCTTGTTACTCTATCACTATTTCTATGGAATATGTTTTGACGAGCTACATTCCTTACTTCCTCCAGTTTTGACTTTCACACCTAAGATCCACTATGCCATGCACAGTGGTATGAATCATCACTATTCCCTCTGTATTCCCTTAGTAAGTAGGTATTTCCACTTGTGAAATTCTTCCAAGAGTCTTTTCTCAATTACTACAATCTTAACTTCAGATCTAGGGTCAATCATTATCTATCCTACATATCCTCATGATCTGCACTTATCTCCTCTTTATGTCTATAAAATAACCTCATTCAGTAACCTCTTACCTTGAGTGGCTCATATGCCTATAGTGAATGAACAATTAGTTTAAAAAAAAAAAAAGGGAAAACACTTAAAAAAAAAAAAAAAAAAAAAGAAAGAAATTTAACAAATTTTGGTGAGTGGGTTGGGCCAAGAATCATGGCTCTTCAAAACCTTCTATCCTCTGTAGATCTAGGCAGTGTTTGTTCCCTTGCTAGCACTTCCTGTTTCATAATCCCCTGTATGTATATAATCCTTTTAACAGTGTACACATATAAAAATAATCTGATCATTTTTTATAGGTAGTATGCTAATTTCACATGGGTCATTTGTCAGTCAGTTATGTGCCACGCCTAATACATGCGTAGGCGATCATGTATCTTTTGATACATGACTGATGAGGCAGATTCTTTCCCGCAGTAGGTTGCCATTTCTTTTTGCAGTAGACCAGTTGCCATCAAAGGCTATAGAACTGTCTGTCCTGCTATTTAACCCATAGCTGGAGGGAGAAGAAGAGGATTCATACCTTTCCCAAGGGTATTAGCATGTAAGTGAATGTAATGGATTTGTTCTTTAATTTGAACTCAGCTCTCTGATTCCTCAATTGAAGCTGCTATCCATATATATATATATATATATATATATATATATATATATATAGATGTGTGTATGTATGTATGTATGTGTACAAATGAGTTTACTAATTCCTCATGCTAAGACAGTATATGTATGGAGGGGAAATATATGCACGCATATATACACACACATGCTGACAGAAACACCCGAAAATGGAAACAAATTTAAGAACACACAGGGGTCAGTAAAATATTAAAAGATAAAATGCTGATAAGTAATTCATCATTTCTCTTGGACCAACCTTAATTGTTTTATGACCCTTCGCGCAGAACTCTTCAATGCCAATTCAAGAAAGACATTCAGATTACTAACACAAAAACAGAGAATGTCTCGTATCAAGATCAAGAATATTCAACATTGAAAAACATAAGGAAAAAATTAATTATTTTTAATATGTGAATCTCCGCTTTTACCTGAAGATGGTCACGAGACCAGAAACCCGTGTAGTAAAATTATGGAAAATAAAGCATAATGTTTTTTTTAAAAAAAAAAACAAAAAACACATTACAACCAAAAAACGTTTATGCACGTTTCTTCTCTTCTTTTAATATACATACTTTTCTCTCGTTGGAACCACTACAACCTCTATATTATATATATATATATATATATATATATATATATATATATATATATATATATATTCTTTTAAATTTCAAACTTTCAGAAAGTCTGATTTTTGAATGTTTCTAAATTTTTTTTTTGTAGCCTTGCTGCCCGTATCGTCATCACAAAATTCCAGAAATCAGAGGTATAATTTGATTTGTTGGGGCCTTCCAGGTATGCCAAGCACAAGTGATGGGGCTACCTATAATAAAATACAACAAGCCCAAGTGCCCACAGAACGAGAGGGTTGGCTTGGGCATCCCCTCGATCCAGTTGGGATATTGTTTGATACATTGGCTGATGTATCCAAAATTAAAGACGATAGCACTAATATTTCTGGTAAGTATTTTGTTCTTTTGTGTTAATTTTCTTTCACAAGTTTTAATGAAAATTTGAAGTTTCTGCAGTTTGAACTAAATTGGAATTTTTAGGCATAGGACTTAAAAGAATGCCATGGTTATTCCCAGGAGATATATTAACATCTGGTATGGTGCTTCTGCTATGTATTCGGAGATTCTTGATAAAATACAAAGTTATTTGTCCTGACCTGGCATCTCTGCTTCAGTCACTTTACTACTGCCATAATGTGACTTCCATGTTGCCATTTCTATAAATGGTTAATTTGCAGTATAAGCACCAAAAGCCCCTGGTACTGAGAATCTACCATTATGGTGTGAATATTAAAACATTGTACTTGATTACCATTTATGGACAATATAAGTTCGACTTCTTTCTCATCGCATAGACAGAAGGACCGCCATTACTGGCTTTGTTTACATACATTTTCCTTGAGTAGCCATGTGGCATAGAAGCTTCACTTGTCTTGATTACTGCACAATGTGCGAAGTTTGAAATAGTGTGTGAAATAATCTACAAAAAAAATGAAAAATAAAATCAAAATTACCTGTCTGAAAGGATTAAAAAAAAAAAATAAAGCTTCAGTTCCATAAAGAAATTATACTTTTAATTGGAAAAAAGGAATTTATACCACACAAAAAAACACATTTTAAAATAACATCCACAAAAATTGCACGGTAATCAAGATGAGTAAGATGCAAAAAGCCGTAATAAGTAAGCTTCCACACATTACAAGTCAAGGAAAACATGTAAACAATGCCAGTAATGGCATCTGGACAATGCAAAAGAGATCAAACCTACATTGACAATAAATCATAGACAATAATTGAGCATAATGTTTTAATTTCATTTTAAAAATAATTAGGCAATTTCACACCAGAATGGCACATTGTCATTACCAGGGGATTTTTGTGCTTATCCTACAAATGAACCCTATAAATACTTTCCATTATGTTATCTAGACTTTATGAATTTATGCGCAGTACTATGGCAGGGTTTTATCATTTTACAATTGAAATATTTAAATGTAAGCATAAATTCTTTGCTGTTTCTTCTTTCATACTTTTCATTTGCGAAACTCTTCTGACCCCTTGCTTCCCAGTTAATTTTGATCTTCAAAAATTTCAATGCAATACCAATAATTATCTTCTGTCTTAATTCCTGTTCTTTTATTGCCCTCTTGCATTAATGTTGTTTTCTTTTACTGATTCTCTCACACTCAGTAACCTCTTCCATCTTAGGGATTTTTTTTTTCACCTTTCTTGGTGAAATGATTTGAAATTTATATATATATATATATATATATATATATATATATATATATATATATATACCAATTTCTATTTAAATTGAAGAAATATATTTTTTTCAATTTAATAGAAATCAGACAACCTTTAATGGACCCTTAAGATTGTCTGTTTTCTATTTAAATTGAGTTAATAATTGCTCTGATTTGGCATTGAGCTCTCTGGATTACATCCTCCTTGGGATTATCTATATGGATTACCAAAGTTTTCACTAATTCTCTCTCATACATACACACATATATATATATATATATATATATATATATATATATATATATATATATATATGTCTTAAGATGTGCTATATTTATGGTATAAAGTGCTCAATATCAGAGATAGAGCGTGTGTAAATATAAAAGTGAACATAGAAGTCAACACTTAGAGGCGACAGTCTGTTTCATGTTAGACACAATCGTCAGGCCTGAAACACTGTTGCCTCTAAGTGTTGACTTCTATGTTCACTTATATAGTTAACCTTACCTTGCATACTAGCTGGACACTTCACATATTGTCTTTGTTTTAAGGAGGGATAAATTTGAAACATTCATTAAATATCCATACAACCATATACTGATTATTGTGTTATACTTTTTCAAATAGGTTTTTCTAACGTTATTAGAGTGGGAACTTGAAAACTTCATGGTTTTTTTTTGTCTAATTTTCATTACTGACACTAATCGTCTTAAGCTGTCATATTTCATGGAAGCAGATGTTAAACATACATGGAAGTTATTGCTTCCTCTCTCTCTTCCTTTCAAGAAACACATACAGCCTCAATGCAATGCACTGGAGAATGAAGGATTTGTGGACAGGAGACAGACAATGGCTTGGTTAAAATAGATTTTATATTTTTTATGACTTAATTTTTTGGTTATTTTAAACCAAAAGGTTTTGGCTTGTAGGCAGTCACTCACAGTACCAGGTGTTTTCCAAGTGGTTCCTCATCTAGGTACTGACAAGGCTTCATGCTGCTCAAATCCATTGATCAAACGAGCACTGGTGTTTTCAGTGTGATTGACTGTAGACTACTCCAAATAGTGGCAGGTGGCTTTTGTATCAAGTAGGTTTTTAGAGAAACTTTATCACGAGAAATAAAGCTAGTGACTACAAAGAGTGTACGTCTTACAGTTACCCAAACAATTGGACTCTCATTATTGAAAATTATTCTATAGAGGTAACTTCATTAAAGGATTATTGTTGATTACCTCCAAAATTACGAAAGGTTGCCACAGGTCAATTTAAGGTCAAAACGATTTCCAGCTAAACTGCAAAAAAGAAAGATCTCTTTTTTTGATGTGACTGTGATGGAAAGAGTGGGTATAAGTCCTTATTTCAGAGTAAAGTGTCTGTAAAAAAAAAAAACAGCAACCTAAATTAACAGTATTAAAGTAGAGAAACATGTTTTTCTGCTCAACATTTAAAGCTCAAGGGAGGTAACTTCGCCTTGAATTTTTTTCTTACACACACACACACACACACACACACACACACAAATTTAAAACTACTTCATGGTGATCATTTCACCTTACTAAATTAGCAAAGATTTTCAAACCTTTCTAGATAAAAGATAAAAATAAATATTTTTATCTTCTTACCTAGAAAGGTTTGAAAATCCTTGCTAATTTAGTAAGGTGAAATGATCACCATGAAGTAGTTTTAAATTCCTCTGTATGTTTTGTGTGTGTGTTAACACACTGCACCTGCAAAGAAAAGTTATGAGAATTCTAAAATAACATCGTACTTATGAATTAATGAAAATGTGCATTCCAGCCTTATCCAAAGATCATACTTTATTTTAAGTTTTTTAAGTTCAACTGTTTAATGTGGAGTGTCTAAAATGTTAGAAAAACACCTGTCAAAAAAAAATGTCAAAATTTAATTATAAAAAAACAAATTAAGCTTATTTGTTTTGATGTGTATTTAAATTTTTTTCTTTTTCACCCCAAGCAAAGCAATAAAGATACTAAAATGCAAAGGGTTACTGAGTATTAGAGAATGAGATAAAAAAAAAAAATGCTACTGAAGACATAAAGAAAAGAGGAATTAAGATGGGAGATAATGATTCACATTGCATTTCAATTTTTTTTTAAGTGTAACTCTATGTAGTCGATTCAACCTAATAAATACTTTTGTCCTCAGTATCACAACAAAATTTCAAGAAGCAGGCACCTCAGTGGGTTGAGTTAGAAGATGCCTTCATAGTTCAGAAATGGTCAACTCGGCTGTACCTCTCATTCACACACACACAATTGGATGACAGCAAGTTATATAAATATCCGATTCATGATTGTAAGGCAGAGACCCTTATGTCCTCTTAGCAAGATGGAATGTTTGAAAAAAAACCCCCCTAAAACCCCCATGGCTGACATTGATGTCTTGAAGTGAATAACCAAATATTTTATATGTGAAAAATTTAATCTTCTATTCTTAATACACATCATTAATTAGTTTGTATTTTCTTTTGTAGCAACAAGTCCAGTTTCCAGCCGAAACATATTCAACAGTAGCACAACAAATAGCAACAGCACAATAACCACCCCAGCCAACAACAACAATATGGACACAAATGCCAGTGGGTCCTGCCCAACTTCAATTCCAAGCATACAGCGGTATAAACATGTTCCTATCCCAGGTTGCCGAGACCGCAATGAATCTTACCTCACTCTTGCCCTTGAAGTAGCACTTATTGGTAAGCCTTCCTATTTTGCCTTTTCCTAGTCTTGTCTCCTGCCTTTTCCTAGTCTTGTCTCCTGCCTTTTCCTAGTCTTGTCTCCTGCCTTTTCCTAGTCTTGTCTCCTGCCTTTTCCTAGTCTTGTCTCCTGCCTTTTCCTAGTCTTGTCTCCTGCCTTTTCCTAGTCTTGTCTCCTGCCTTTTCCTAGTCTTGTCTCCTGCCTTTTCCTAGTCTTGTCTCCTGCTTTTTTCCTAGTCTTGTCTCCTGCCTTTTCCTAGTCTTGTCTCCTGCCTTTTCCTAGTCTTGTCTCCTGCCTTTTCCTAGTCTTGTCTCCTGCCTTTTCCTAGTCTTGTCTCCTGCCTTTTCCTAGTCTTGTCTCCTGCCTTTTCCTAGATGTTTGTTTCTGTGAATTTAAAGAAAAAAATGTATGCATTTTGTTAAAAATATCCAATCATTTGATTATGATACTGTTGCACTTACCGTTGCACCATGACACCAACATGCAATATGTGAAATAAGCAACTTTATAGCATATGCAAATCACTCGAAGAAATGATTGTGCATAGTGCAATAAAGGAAACAAATCATTTAAACTCCATTGTGTAGGCCATCATTTTAAATTTTCCTTCTTTTAGGTGATGATTCAATAAGTCTCCTGTTATGTTGAAAACTGTTTCTCTCTTGTAAATTGTAACTCTTTGCTTGTGTGCAGGTCTTGGACAACAACGACTGATGCCTCCTGGACTGTATGCTCAGGAGAAAACATGTAAGCAAGAAGATAAGTTAATTGCTCGCCTTCAGGAAATTGAACTTGACACCACCCTTGTGGCCATCCTCAGGAAACAGGCTGTCCTCCTTTTGGAAGGTGAGTCTTTTGTTGTGCTCTGGTCTCTATATGAACCCTAGTCTCTGCCCCACCTTTCTCTGTAAAATTTTATTTAAGATAATAAAATCAGGAAAATGGAAGAAAACAATTGAAGATTTTGTTTTTTTTAATTCTTTTTTATAAGGATTATAAATTTATAAAAGGAATGAATCAAAAACGAAAAAGTAGTTATGGTTTCATGCCTTTATTATAAGCATTTTAAATAAGTAAACATAGGCAGCTGTAAGGTGTTAAGTAATGTTTTATATATCTCTGCTTAACCATTACATGTCACATGTATTCTCATAATATGCACTTATGCTGTTATAACAACATCATTCAGTAAACTTTGACATTGAGTGGCTCTTGGGCCTTGTATTAGGTGAAAAATAGTATTAAAAATAAATTCAGAAAGTTTTTTAATGTTTCCATCTGACATCAAATAACATATTCTTCATCATCAGAAGAAATGGCTTAATTCTCTGGATTCTATTTAATAAAAAATATGTTTACATGAAGGATTATTTAAAATATATATGTTCTGAAAGCATGAAGCCATTAAAATTACTTGTGTATCATTGTAACTTAGCAGCTGACCAGAGGGTACTTTGCTGTGCATGTGTGAACAAAAGTTCTCCTGTGGGTTGCCATTGAGTAGTTTTGCATTTACAATGTTGAAATAATAGATGCTTTTTTTTTTTTTTTTTTTTTTTTTTTTTAGTGTTTTTTGTCTGCAAAATATAACATTCAGTCCTGTCAGTGACAAGAACACATTCAGATTTGACTCTCTGTAATTATTTTTTTTTCTTCAAATCTGAACTTGCGATTTTTACGGTGAATGCAATGAGGCAGCTGATGGCAATCCCTAAAGAGGACTTTGTAGGCACTGTTTTTAAAAGTGGAAGAGATGCTTAGATAAGTGAGTGAGATTAGGGAGAACATGAGGCAGATGATGGCAATCCCTAAAGTATTTTGCAGATTGTTTTTTTAAAAAGAAAAACTGGAATAAGGGGAAAAGATGCCTTGATAAATGTAAAGTTTTAAAGGAGTTTCTTGAAAAGAAATAAAGAACCATTGTCTTTGGTAGATTGTTTTCATCTAAATATTAAATGGCTGTATGATCCTACATAATGATTATATTTTTTTCTGTAGTTACTTGTTGTACTTTTGTTTAATTTTTAAATATTTAATGTTTTATTTATTCAGGTGGCCCTACTAGTGGCCTGGGCCTCGGAGTACATACAGAAAGTTATCCGATGCATGCGTTTGCCCAATACCTCTTTATCAACCTTATTAATTATGACCAAGACCTTGCCTTTAGAGTCGGACTTCGAGCCATGCGGTATGAACTTTTCTTTTTTATTCACTTTCCTGCAAATGTCTTTAAAAAATTGCATGTCAAAAATGTAGACACATCTGTACACTTATCATTCTAAAAGATTATTTATATTTAATGTTATTTTATGCTAAATAACTTTGACTCCTTTCCAGATGGGATAGCCTTATATAGGCACCCAGACATGTGGGTTTTCTTCCCAACTCAATATCAGTTGGCCATAGTGGTGGTACATATTATTGAATCGGCCTAAACATTACTATTGTGGCAGACTGCACCACATTAATTTAACTTTGATAATGAAACAGGACTCGCACAAGAATAATAACCACAAGACATTGTTGCACATAAAATATACGTATATTAACAAGAAGTACAATATCAAACAACGATGTGAAAGAAAACCAGCATTTAAGTAAGAAAGGTTGAATTAATCAAGAGTTGCTTCTCTTTGTTTGCAATTTAAGAGTTCAGTGTAAGATAATTATTTGGTTTAAAGTTTACTGGATAAATGTTCATTAGTGTTTCATGATATGATTCTTCTTGTGATATTACAGTTGAAAAGTATTGTTGTGTCAAAAGAAGTTTTTAGTGAAGGTGTACAAATTATCAGCATGTGGGTGTGTAAGTGAGAAGGTTGGCAGGTGGTTACAACTGGAGTTCCAACTGTTGTAGATTCGTTTAGCAGTTGAGGTCTCACTAATTGAGATGAGAAAAATCTTGGCTTAAAATAAGTGACTATAGACTCCAATTCGTTGTGCGGAAAAATTATTCTTTATGTGCAAACAATCTGATTGTTTGGCGTCAATCAATCAGCGAGTGAGCTTTGGGGAGACATAAGGAAGCTTCTGTGAGCCACTTCTCCCAAAAGTGCACAAATCTGACCACTTAAAAAATAAAGCGATTCTAAAATTGTCGCATTACTGCAATTTGTAAATTGCAAGTAGAAAATGTATTAGTGACTTATTAGCCAATGATTGTTTGGCATTGTACATGTGATTTTGTGTTTGTATGTATATGTTCATGCGTAAGTAGGTTCACACACTATCCAATTATATATCCTATATAATGGTGACGTACTTTGAAATGGTCTATTTATTTATTAGGTTGAGTTGTAAGTAATTTCCATTTTGTGGCACCAGTGGTAATAATAAACGTATCTTTCTAACTACCTAATCCTACATGGTAGTTAGTAAATTTGGAGGATATGTTCTCCCCTCTGGCAACACGTGATTGCCTGTATCAAGAATAACATTGGGTGGGTGGGAATTTTCAAAACTCTGGACTCTGCCATATTTACCTGATCTTGCATCCATTGATCATTACATTCTTTGATTGCTGCAAAATGCTTTGATGGGTAAAATTTTCTCTAGTGAAAACCAGATTCAAGAGTTCATCGAAAACATTTTGCATCAAAACCTGTGAAATTTTATTCAGAAGATGTCAAAGAGCAACAAGTCATTGGAAATAACCGTGAATATATAATTAAATAAAATGTAATTATTTACATTATTCAGACTGTTATTTGCATCTTCATTGCCGTATTCACAATGTATCGGCCGTTGTACGCTGCAGCTTTTTTCAGTTGATTGGAATTTTGAACCAAACCCTTTATTTCATCCACTGAGGTAGATTGTTCTAGTTCTACATGCCATGCCTCTTCAGGATGTCTCCTTTATTTCTCTTTAACTCAACTCTCCAAGTTTTGGTTCACCACTGCTGTGGACTTGTATTGAACTCACAGCACTTTGGGTCTAGTCACTGGATCTAACCAACGTCTTTATCCATTGGACCATGTGTTCTTGAGGACTTATGACCCAGTGGATCCGGAAGATGTATGGCACTTGTAACTAGAACAATCTACCTCAGTGGACAAAAGAGCTTGGTTTGAAATTCAATCACCTGAAAAAGGCCAGAGCATACAACAACTGAAATGTTGTGAATATGGCACTGAAGATGAGGATAAGTCAGAATAACATAAATGTAAGTAATCTTAATACCTCATCTCAGAGATATAGACAGATATTACTTTATTTTTTTTAATTTATAAATATGATTTCTAAATATAATTTATGTATTGTATCAACAGACGAAGCAATTGTGAATTATCTCTAGGTGGCCTTGCCAACCATTCTTTCTGATGATTAGTTTAAAATGGAACAAATAGTTGGAGTCCTGATGTTGAATTCGACTGGCAGGAGGCAAGAATTGGTGGCTGATACAGTTATTTTTAATCTCGGTACACATTGCAATGATGTGCAATGGTGTATCATCAGTGATGTTACAATGTATTTTTTGGTTTTGTTACTTTTATTTAACTTTGGTTTTCATAAAAACACAAAACAAACATGAATGCAAATCCCTCTACCATGTCAGTTGAGTGTTATCTGATCAGATGTGTGTACAAGTTCAGTGTAGAAGGGTCAACTTGTCTACAGAGCTCAGAAATTGAAGATAAGAGTTATCTTAAAACTTCTTTAAAAATTTTTAATGAATTTGAAATCAAATTTTATAATTGTTTTTTATGCTTCAAGGTTTAATTCATGAACTTGCTTTCATGAATTTTCTTCTGCTTGAACCGATTATGTTGGTTCCATAAACGTTTTGGTTGATGCATTTTGCAGCCATTTCTTGGTTCAGCAGAGAGGGATGTGGACAAATGGATTGTGTAAAGTGTAAATTTGCACATGTGATAAGGTTTTGCTGAGAATATCATCTGTGTACTTTATGTTGCTGTGACTGAACAGAATTGTTATATTAGCTACCATTTGTTTTTTGACTGTCCAAATTGGTCAGTCAGAAGATTCTAACAAAAGTAACAAAAAAAAAAATGAATTCCATAATTTTGAGAATGCTTGAAATGATTTCCATATTGGAGAAATATTCGAGATAAAGATTTTTATCTACTTTAATGCAAAATGTTTTGGAGAAAATGGTAAAAATAAATTAGAAGTCTGTCTCCTCCACACTTTGCTTTTCTCTCTCACTCTCTCTTGACTTTCACACTTCTTTTGCTCTCCACTCTTCTGGTATTCTCCTACCTTTTGTCTTTTGCTCCTTATATAAACTCATTCTTTTTTTTTTTTTTTTTTTTTCTTCTGCAGCTTGCCAATCCTTGAACATGAAGATGAAGATCTCGATGTTGTGAACAACATGGGTCCAGTGGTATTCAATCGATTTCCACGCTGGTTCATCCTGGGACACATTGAAACCCAACAATGCGAACTGGCTTCGACATTACTTGCCCATGCTAAAAGTAAGACCTATGAGATCAATAATCATTCAATAAAATTATGAACAGTTGAATATCCGCTTCTGTTAAAGAATGAAATAGATAACAAAACATTTAAGTCTCTTAAGATTTTGATAAAAATCAAAAAAGTACATATTTATTTCTTTATTGCTTTTAATATGTCTATATTTTTTTTATAGCTTTATTATTTTTAAGACCTAAATTCTGATTGGTAGTTTGATTGATTTTTTTTTTTTTTCTTTTTTTTTTTTTTTTTTTTTTAAGTTTAACAAATAAGCTACAAAGGATAGGAAATTGTAGAGAACCATGATCCTCTGTCCTGAAAGAGCCAGCACATAGAAGAAGAATTTTGTGTTACTCTGCCTTTCTAGTGATCATTTGGTTGTTAACTTGGTGAAACAAAAGTGGGAAATCCTTCCAGTGAAGTAACAAGGTGCTGGTTTAGGTTTCAGATTCCCAGGACTAGCCAAAAATTTAAGAAATGTTGTAATGTGATGTATACTCCAAAATAGCTATATTAATTTTGCCATTTGATTAGTTGCTTTGATCATATCAGTTGGTTGTAAAAAAATATTAAAACCATTTGAAAATCAATTATTTTAATTTAAATATTTTTCTTTTGGCATTGCAGATGATCATCGACAATTACAGATTGTATTGGAATCAGCTGAGACTCACATTCACAGTTCATCTCAGCTTTTTAAGCTTGCCCAAGAAGCTTTCAAAATTGCCACCCTGTTGATAACCACAAACACATTCATGTCTTGAATGCTGCCTTTGAACTGGGCTTGCAGGTGAGTTGATAGATTTTATTTTTATTGTTTCGTTTTTTTTTTTTTTTTTTTTTTTTTTTTTGTTTTTGTTTTGCTGTTTATTTCTTTTGGTTTGTGTTTTTTTTTTTTTTGGGGTTTTCCAATCCCTTAATTTTTTTTTTTTTTTTTTTTTTTTTTTTAAACTTTATCAATTGCCTTGGAGCATTTTTTGCTAATTGCACGTGACCATGGCCGTTATTTCTACAGGTTATGAGCTCATAAATAGTTTCAATGGCAATGAATTTAAATATGAATTATGGGAAATAAATTTTTAGAATTCAAAAATAATTAAACAAAACTATTTTGGCCCCATATAATCATCTCAATGATAAAGAGTATTGGGAAAAGAATGCAAGTGTTTTCGCTGAGCTAATACAGTTTTTTGTTGACCAAAGTATATTTCTTGAAGTCCCTGACAATGGTAGAAAAGCACTGCAAATTGAGAGAACACTTAGGAATTACTGCCATCTTTGGGTGCATCTTGATTTCAAAAATGTATTCTTGTTGCAGGAGATCCCTTCCCCAAACAGCAACTCTCCATTTTGGATCAAGAACATAGCAGGCTATATCTATACTAAAACCAGGAAATTAGTTACTAGACACTTTATGCTAGACATGATCTTGTTTTGTGTGCAACATCTCGAGAGGACACACTCTTTATCCATTAAATCACAAACTTTGTCTGATTTAGTTTTGTAGAGTGACAAATCAGTTATGTGCCATGCGTGATGCGTGCTTAGGTGATCATGTATCTTTTGATACATGACTGATGAGGCAGATTTTTTCCCACAGTAGGTTGCCATTTCTTCTTCCGGTAGACCAGTGGCCATCCAAGGCTATAGAACTTGGTCTGTCCTGCTATTTACACATAGCTGGGGGAGAAAAGGAGGATTCATACCTTTCCCAAGTGACAAATACTGTCATTGAATTTCTGAAGACCAGATGTGACCATATGTTAAAATTTTCATTAAAATTTTCACAACCAACTTTGAAATTTTAAGATGTTTGAAATTTTCAAGAACATTTCCTCCTCTCACTTGAAGGTGAGAAATGAAACAAAAAAAAATCAAATTGTCACCATAGCTCATAAAAAATGTTTGTCAAGTGACTACCTAGAAGTTAAATTTTCACATTTGCCTGCTTTTGACATCCCCAATGTGTAACTCACACTTTAGGCTGCACTTTTTGCTGGCAACCAGATTTTTCATCATAAAATTAAAAATGGGTCTTTTGGCATCGCTTTTATTGGCCATCATGTTTAATAGTTCGTGCACTTTTTTTTTTTTTTCTTTTTTTAAAATCTGTAATCAAGCGTCATCTGCATAGCATATGTCATTGGCTACATTCACCAGTAAATAAATCTGGTGAGAGAAAACATTCTTTCTAATTTGGTCTATTGTTAATTCAATGTTAACTGGCATGCAGGCTATTTTTCCCCAGCATTGATTGCGGTATACAGCGTGTGATGGGTAAATTATCACCATTTTACAATTTTAATTTCACGTATGTACATTGTTTTTGATTTTTGTTGACTGTGTCGTATGGTAGTCAGTTTGCACCATCTGTGAGAAAAAGAGAACCATGATGCAATTCATTCTGCCAGAAAATTGTAAACATCATGTTGTACTGCTTGGTATTTGTGCCAGAAATTTTAATTATTGATCTGAGGATTTAGAAAGAGCTGGATGAGTCTAATAGTGATTACAAGGAGTTTGGAGTGATCACTACTAATAGTGATGTTATGCCTCCATTCATCTTCCCACATAGCCTCAGACTCAACACAGAAGCCTACATAAAGTCCTTTGAGGAAGTAATGCTACCCAGGGTCAAGATGGTGGCTGCTGGAAGACCCTATAACTGGCAACAGGACTCTGCACCATGCCACACAAGCAGTAGAGCTGTCAGATAATTTCTGTCACTACATCACCCCCTTACATCTGGCTGCATAACTTCCCAGATTGCAACCCTCTTGATTATTATGTGTAGGGTGCAGTAGAGTGAGAGACCAACAAAACTCCTTGATGAACTGAAGGCAAGGATTATGGCAGCATTCAACACCTTAAACAAGGAGACCTTCCAGAATAGTTGCAGGAGATTCCAAAGTTGTTTGGAGGCCATGGTTGAAGCCAATGGCAATTTTATTGCATAAATTTAATCTTTAGTGTTTTAAGATAATTTTGTATAATTTTGGTAAATGTGTTAAAATGAGATGTTAATGTTTGTTTTTTTTTTTTTTTTTTTTTTTTTTTTTGTATAATTTAGGCGACAATTTATCCATCGCACTCTATATGTTTGTATATCCTTTCCATGTAGATAAAGCTTTTCTAACACACTACATGTATATAAATAAATCTATGTAATTTGTTTGTTTTAATTCTAGGTGATGCGAATGACTCTCACCACTCTGAATTGGCGTCGTCGAGAAATGGTACGATGGTTGGTAACCTGTGCCACAGAAGTGGGAGTTGCAGCCCTTACCAGCATAATGCAGAATTGGTTCCAGTTGTTTGCACCTATGGAAGCCACAAGTAAATATTTCTTGTTTTCTCTTTTGAATTTTTCTGCATTGTTTAAAAAATTTTTAATGTTTCAACTCTTTTTAAAAAGTTTCTCTGCTTATCACAACATTTTGGCTGTTGTACACTTCGGCCTTCTTCAGGTGGTTGGAATGTCGAACTGAACCCTTTATAGTTTGTCTATATTTCTGAGATGAGGTATTATGTACAGTATTTACATTAGTCGGACTATTGTCCTCATCTTTGTCGCCATATTTGTCACAACGTTTCGGCCGTTGTACGCTCCGGCCTTCTTCAGGTGGTTGAAATTTCGAACTGAACCCTTTATTTCAATCACTGGGGTAGACTGTTCTAATTCCTCAAGGACACATGGCACAGTGGATAAAGGCATTGGTTAGATCCAGTGACAGACCCAAAGAAGGTGAGTTCAATTCCTGGTTAAGGCAGTGGAGAACTTTCAGAGGGAAAATTAGCAGGAGATAACTGATAACTGACATCCATCAAACATGGCACGTGGAATTAGAACAGTCTACCCCAGTGATCAAATAAAGGGTACAGTTCGAAATTTCAACCACCTGAAGAAGGCCGGATGCATAACGGGTCAAACGTTAGACAAATATGGCGACAAAGATGAGGACAATAGTCCGACTAATGTAAATACTGTGAACCCTTTATTTCGCTCGATGGGGTAGACTATTCTAGTTCTATGGGCTATGTCTAATGGATGTCTGTTATCTCCTGTTAATTTCCCTCTCCAAGTTCTCCACCGCCTTAACTAGGTATTGAACTCACACTATTTGGGTCCTGTCACTGGATCTAACTAATGCCTTTTATCCACTGTTCCTTTTGTCCTTGAGGGTTTAGTTTAACATTCCAACCACCTGAAGACGGCCGGAGCATACAATGGCCGAAATGTGATAAATATGGCAACAAAGATGAGGATGATAGTCTGAGCAATATAGTGTACATAATACCTCATCTCAAAAATATAGACAGGTATTAACTCATTGTCTAAGATATTTCTCTTTTCATATCAGTGAAATATGTTATAAGTTATTTTGAGGTCAGTCCTTCCATTCATTTAACATAATACTTTCATTGTTTTAAAACTTGGGTACCAAAAAAAAATAATCTGCTAAGAATATTTGAACATTCTGACCTCCATATAAATTATAGTTTAGAAGTTTCAGCCCAAAATACATGAAAATGATCTCTAATTTCCTAAATACTGTCAAATATTTATTACAAACAATAGTCAGAGCCCAAAAGAAAAGGTCAAACAAGATATTTTCTAATTTTTATGTGAAGTGTTTTATTTATTTTTTTTTTTTATTTTTATTTTTTTTTCAAGCTGTAAAAAATAAAATGTAATAAAACCTTTTAAAACTTGTGTGTTCACATGCAAGTTTTAAAAGGCTTTACTCTGTTTTATTATATATGTGAGGGCACAAGTTGAGGCCCTGCCAGAAGTTAGGTTTTCTTTATTGTACTCACAAATTCACAGTTCGGTAGAAATAAATTTACTTAAAAAAAAAAAAAATCAAAAGGGATACCTATTCAAACACAACTGCAAAAAATTCTTGTGAATTAAGAATGAAAATGTTATTTAAAAAAGGTAACATTTCTTAGCAGAATCTGCAGAAATTCTGTCATACTCTAGATGCTGGACAGGCTCATTTAATGTTTCTAGTTTCAGTGATATCCTGAACTAGATACTCCTCCATGCACATTGTGTATTAAACATCTGAAGTCCCAAGCTCAGGGTTCAAACATTACATACCTGAGCTAGTCATGTGTCATAAAATTCTTGAAGTCTTGGAAGAATAAAATACTTCAACTAGATTTTCACAAAATGTAGCTTATTTTAGCTGTTGGTTATGTCGTCTTTCTCCAATTCTACTGCCTCACAGAAAGTGTGAATCTAGAAATGCTAATTTGCAACTGTGATGTTAATAAAAAACAATCACTGTCTGTTCCTCCTTCTCAAAGGTTATGACGATTTGGCGGTCTTCTTCCTCTAGCACTACTATTCTGATTTTCTTTTTCTGTGTTTATTCTACGTACTTTTACTGCATGCATCTTCTCTCTGGAAGCCTTCTCTGATTTTTCCAAAGTGTGCCATGTGCTCATATATAATCAAATCCACCAGCTTATCACCAGTATTTTATTGGAATGGTTTGATCATTAATTTACATTCTCTAAGAATCTCCTCACATGCACAGCTAGCCACTTGACTCAATTATAATAACTTACTTCCCAAAACTCTGTGTATATAAAGGGTTTTTTTTTGTGTATAAATCATACAATCCATTGACTTTGGTTGAGTACTTTTTTTGTTTATTTATATTTTTCTGAAAGCACTTTATCTAAAATTGTTCAGCCTTAAAAACTACACTTATCCATTTGGTAGGTCATAATTTAAACAACTTGGTCTCAAGGATTTTTAGCTATACTTTTTGTTTCCTGGTGCTTAAGTTATTTTTACTTGTCATCATTTTCACTTAGCTTGTCTACACACGAATTTAACCCTTCTTTTTGTCTTTTGCAGCCACTGTAGCGACGACAATCATGTCCCCAGCCACAGTCATTCAATTAAATTTAACCTACCAACAGCAGGAAGAACTTGCAAAGTGTGCTCGTAATTTGGCTCTTCAGTGTGCCAATAAGGACCCACCCAGTTGTGCCCTGGGAGCTCTGAACCTCTGTGAGAAGGACCCTGTTGCCTTTGAGACTGCCTACCAGATTGTCATTAAAGCTGCATCTCATGTAATGAACTCTACGCAGCTGTTCAACATTGCACGGTACATGGAACATCGAGGTTACCCTCACCGTGCATACAAGCTCTCCTTGCTTGCAATGAAGAACTTGCACCTAGCATACAATCAAGACACTCACCCTGCCATAAATGACATCCATTGGGCATGTGCCCTGAGTCACTCACAAGGAAAGAATGAACTTTCTGATATGCTGGATCTCCTCGTGAAGAATGTACAATGTGCTAATGTTCTTTCTGACATTCTTCGTCGGTGTACTTTAACCGCGCCCGGAATTGCCAATACCGATGGCAAGCGACGTTCAATGAAACTGTTGTCCTATGATCGGGCCCCCCTACGACAGCTGATGGAGGCAGCTATTTGTGCTTATATAAATACTACACACTCTAAATTGACTCATATCAGCCCTCGACATTATGGAGACTTTATAGATTTCCTTAGTAAGGCCCGTGAAACATTTTCTCTTGCCCACGATGGACATATACAGTTTAATCAGCTAATAGAAAATATGAAACTAGCTTATAAAGGTAAAAAGAAGCTTATGTCGTTAATAAAAGAAAGGTTTGGTTTATGACAATAAATCTGGAGGCTGGCCTCTAATTAAAAAAGGAAATAATAATAATAAAAATGATTTTTGTTAAGGAAAAAAAATTAAAACTATAAATTTTATATATTTTCACTTGTGTAGGTTTGATGGAAGACCAACATAAGTTCTTTAAATTTAAAAAATTTTATTTAATTCTTCTAGGATTCAAAACATTTTCCAGGTTCTTGGACAGAATTGGAATATCAGTTATTGAAAGAGGTCTGAAGATATTAGACTACATTTTCTTTGTCCTAGAAACCCCCAAAATGGTCTGAACCATAGAAAAATTAAACCAAAAAGAGAATTTTGTAGAACTTTCATTGGTATTCCACCAAACCTGCATAAATGAAGAAAATAATTATATATATATATATATATATATATATATATATATATAAGAATGGTATACAAACACTATATCAGACTAATAGTGGGTAAAAAAAAAAAAAAAAAAAACTTGTTTAATCTTTCAAAACACACAAGACAGAATTTTTTTTCCATTTTGTCATTCATTTATAAAGTATGACAAATTGTATCCCTTAAACAATCTAAAAAAAAGATCAAAACTGAACTTGAATTTTTTTTTTTTTTTTTTTTAAATCTAGAATTTTATAAGCAGCTGACTGCAGTTATCTCCCCTTTCTTTTTTATTTGCTCACCATGGGATAAAACAAATACCTTTCTTTCCTCCCTTTTCCCCACCCAGACATAAAAATCAAAGTATTTATTTATAACATACATAAAATCTCTACCTCTCTCTTTTGATTTCTACAATCAACTCTCAACTTGTAAAAGATACAGACAAAACAAAACAAAAAATTTATAAATTGTCCTTCCGAAATTTGAATTGACCTAACCTCTCAATTTCACTCCACTGAAATCCTTATGATATAGCCTTTGGCGTTTGTCCACCCCTCCCAAAATTAAAACCTAGAATGCTGTTATGTCTTGAGGAATCCATTAGGCCACTCTTAGCCTCTTGATGTCATTGTCTGAATTGCTTTTAGGTTTTTCAAATCACTATCTGAAACCTTTCTGTCGATTATTGCATATGTGGCCAATGATAAGAGGTGTGGGTTTTTATGAATGAAATGATGATACACAAAACAGCCAAACTTGGTCGTCAAGAATTTGTACCTGCAAACTATGCTGTGTGTGTGTGTGTGTGCTTTCCTTTTTTTTTTTTTTTTTCCTTCTTGCTGGGGTGGGGTGAGAAAGAAACAAAACAAAAATGGTTCTCCTTTCATTTTTTTTTTTTTTTTTTTTTTTTTTTGGCCGTGTGATGTTTTGGCTTCAAAGATGGATACCTTTTTATTTATTAATTTTTTTTTTTATTTATGTTTATCATAAAAGAATGGAAACCTTGTCTGCCCAACAAACATACACTATTAAATGTACATACATATGCACACACTTGTAAAAAAAAAAAAAAAAATTTTTTTTTTTTTTTTTTTCTTAGGGAGAGACAAAAAATTTAACTTGTGAAGAGAAAAGTATTCCCCACCCAGCCTTTCACCCCTCCCTATTGCAAAAATGAACTTTATATTTTTATATATGACTTTATTTCTCTTCTACAAGATTCTAAACATGACAAAACAAAAATCCTCTCCTCATATAAAAAAGAAAAAAAATTTTTTTTTAAAACCAACAAAAAAAAAAAAACCTAAATAAAAGTTGATACATTTTACTTATGCTTCCCCCCACCCCATGAAAGAAACGTCTTTCTGGACAAAAACAAACTCATGAAACATACAGTATTTTTTCATTATCAGGGGTCATAATATTGACATGTTTTATTCTACAAAGTTGTTTTCTAATTTTAAAACCTGCTATAAACATGGCCTCTGTAAATAAATATATATTATTGCGTGAGTGGAAGGATGTGTGTGGGTGTGGGTACTATTTGAAGAAGTGTTGTTTCTCAGGAAGGGGGGAGGTGGATGGCCGCAGCTTCAAAAATGCAATTTTTTCATTTAAAAAGAAAATAAATAAAATAAACTCTAATGCAATTGTTTTTTTTTTTTTTTTTTTTTTTTAACTGCTCCCTCCCCAACCTCAGTGTGCTAGGGAGGAAAACAAATAGAATAAGGGTGTGATCTAAACACACACACAAGTTTGGTTAAAGATCAATGAGAGATTTTATAAGATTTTTATTTCTTATGTTTCGGATCATTTTTTGGTTTCGGGTAGATAAAATCTCCAATATCTGATTACTTTCGACTATCTTTTAACCATTTCCAAAGATATTAGGTTTTTCGTGCTATGTCATTGATTTTTTTTTAATTTTTTTTTATTTTCAAGCATAATTTAGTTTAATCCAACGATAAGTCATGTTTGTTTCTTTATTATTGAAATATATTTAGTGTTATATTTAATATATATATATTAAATTTATTTATTATTGAAATATATTTAATATACATATTGCTCCTAACAAAGGAATTTTATTGGTCTTTAACCCAACTCTCTCATATATATATATATATATATATATATATATATATATATAATGTGTGTGTGTATTTTTGTTTCTCTCAGCTTTTTCAGTGTCTTGAACATTGAAGGGAAATTTCCTGGTTTATTTGCTTGTATTTCTTTGCTGATGTGGATGTTTAATTTTACGAAAATAATATAAATTTTTGGTTTATGGTTGGAGCGGGGGGGAGGCGAAACCTTCTCCAAACAAACCAATAAATCACAAGGGTAAGTGTCAATTTAAGTCAAACGATCAGTATGAGGATTTTGTTTCAGGATCTTTACAAAATCAGTGTGGTTGCAATTGAAAAATTCAAAATTTCTTGCTTAACTATTTGCTCCCATGCAATATCCTTAGATTTAGACGGAAATTTGTCGCTTCGAAATCTTCCCATTTAATAAAGAAAATTTAGTTGAAGCTTGTGTATGGCCAGCCATCATTCTGTCCATTAATTTTGGTCATGATTTTCATTATCTAAAGAAAATTTGGTATGGCTTAAATACATTGGCTCAAGAGAATCTTTAAAATGCCCCACTGCCCATTTGTTTTTTTGTTTTTTTTAAATAGACAAAATAATTTTTGCAGATTAGCATTCATAAGATTTTTTTCAAGCCACATTTGTCAGAATCTGAAAATATTTTAGCTTTTTATTTTTTATTGTTTTTTCATAATATTAATGCAGTGTAAAATCAGTCACAATTACAAAGATATCGGACTTTGCAGTTATTTGTAAATATTAAGTTAGAAACTTCTTACATCATTCATATCTGCATCTTTTTATTTTCTGCATATTTTATATATTTTTTTTTTAAACACAGGTTCAAACATTAGGGAATAATTATTAAGTGAAGAATAAACAGATATCTACTTTTATTAATTTTATTTTATTTTAATTTTATTTTTTTATTTTAATTTTATTTTATTTTAATTTTTTTTTTTTTTTTTTTTTTAACTAAAAATATGTATATGTTCTTTTATTTAAAAATTCTTTCCAAGAAAAAATATTTTTTTATGTACATAACAACTAAGTCCAAATAACTCTGTAAAGTCATGCATTGATTTTTTGCTGCATTAATCTTATGAACATGCCCCACCTAAAAGGGTTTAAAAGAAAAATCCCTTTTGACTGACAGATGTCGAGCCTTGAAGAATGTTTAATGAATATAAAAATTATTTCAAAAATTAATTTTACCCTCACTCCCCCATTTTTTTTTTTATTTTTTTTTTATTTTGAGGAATTGACCAGTCAATTTAAGTAGTGCTGGAAAGTTCTTGGAATAATTTTAATTATTACATTTTTCTTCTAATTAGAGGTGGGGAGAGTGTGGAATCAAAATAGGCAACAAAACTATTGGTTGTGGTTGAGGAGCTGACAGATGAAGCAGATTGGGAAGAAACAAAGTCAAACCATTGAAGGGAGTTCAAATTTAATTGTGGCTTTCGGATATTTTTAAGTTTATATTTAAAATTATTCTTTCAGGTTTCATAGATTTATTTTAAATCTTTTTATTCTATACCATTTAACTTTCCTAATTGGAGTAGTGTTAATCACAATGAAATAAAAAAAAAAAAAAAATTGAACTGGATTTACAATAGATTTTTCTGCAAGGTGAGTAAATGGAATAAGTTTGGTTATTGTGAAAGGAGACAAACTTAGTGTCAGTGAAGGGGCAAAATTTGTTTCAACACCAAGAAAGCTTTTTGCATTTAGCTTGTTTACTGATTATAGCATCCAAATCCACAGCTTTACTTTTGATTTGGTGTGATATTCTGATTTTTATTTTACCTTTTTATAATCATGTGGAAATTAAATTTATTATTTCCCTCCCAACTAATTTTTTTTCTTTTAGTAAATTTTTTTTTTTCTCCACCTTATCTGATAAGGGTGGGTCACATTAACTGTCTACTTTATTTTACTCAAACAATGAATTGTGAATATTTATTTTTAAATTGTTTTATAGAATTAATTCAGTCCAATTAAAAAAAAAAAAAAAAAAAAAATATTCCATTTTGATTTAGTTTAACATTTAGAATAATATATGGTGTGGGAGGTATTTTTGCTGCACTATATATATATATATATATATATATTACAGCAGGAAGTTATTTTAATTTTTAATCGCGTGTAAGTGCAGTAGTTACTACCTGTTACTTCAGGTTGTTTATGATTCGCCAAGATAAAAAAAAAACAAAAAAAAACAGATGGACGGACACATGTTCACTGCACTTTATTTATATAGATTTTTATTATTGCAAATATATATATATATATATATATATATATATATATATATATATTCTTTTATTTTAGTAGATACCCATTTTTGAGTGATTTTTTTTTTTTTTTTTTTTTTTTTTAAATTGTGAATTATGTCTACTGCCCTGTGCATTTCAGAGACTTAATGACATATTTCTCCCACACATACAATAAGGAAAATGAAGAACTTCTACCAAAAATGTGCTCAATACACAACTAGGACTATAATGTTTAAATATATAAATTAAATGAATAAAAATAAATTGATTGTATACTTAATTATAAAAAAAATATAATTTTAATTGATAAGTTTGAATATTATGAATTTTATGGTACTAGAAATTTGCAATAATAATGAAATTATATAAAAAAAATCTATATAAATAAAGCAGTGTACATGTGTCTGTCCATTTGTTTTTCCATCTCGGCAAATCATAAGCCACCTGAAATAACATGTAGTAACTACTGCAGTTACCCACAATTAAAAATTAAATATTTTATAGTAAAATTTAAACATCAAACAGTGAAATGTTTAAAAAAAAAAACAATTCTTTATTTCACTTTCTATTGCAATTGATATTGTCTAATTAAACCATAATTTAAGTGGGCCATGTTTCATTACTCATATTTCTTTTTATTTTCCTGTTTCTAGTATGCATACAGTGACGTATTCAAAATATTACATAGTTCGGGTACCCTACTGTCTTTTAAGATTGACTTTATGGGAAGGGAGGATAAAGAATGGGGATTTTTTTTTTTTTTTTTTTTTTAAGGAAAATAAAAAATTGCATGCAAAATAAGTGTAAACAAACTATAAAGATCAGTTGCATATATGAAGAAAGATTTTACCGAATTAAGGTGTCAAATAAAGATAAAATAATTTTATTATTTCTAAATTTTACATACATAGGACACTGAATGTAAACTGCTGGAGATAGAGTAAAGGCTGCCCAAAGGGATGCCATCTAGGCTAGTTTCT